GCTTTACCTCACATCTTCTAGGCCTGATATATTGTTTAGTGTATGTTTGTGTACAAGATTTCAATCAGATCCTAGAGAGACCCACTTAACTGTTGTTAAGAGAATCTTTAAGTATCTGAAAGGAACAACAAATATGGGAACTCTTTATAAAAAATTTCCTAGATTATAAGCTAGTTGGATTTTGTGATGCTGAGATAAAATTGAGAGAAAACCCACTAGTGTAAATTGTCAATTCATAAGTTAAAACCTAATATCTTGGGCTAGTAAGAGACAACCAACTATTCACTACTACAAAATACACATTCGGTAACATTATATTACCACGGCCAATCCATCCACCATTGTAATATATGAAACTGGATGCGCCTATTTTTTTAAAGTCATTTTATGATGATTGGTAGACAGAACCGTGGTGATAGAGTGACTGGTGCATGGTTCGAAACTTGACATCTACATTTTTTTTCCATTTTTTCCTATTATAAAAAGTGTGTGTCACTTAAATTCATAAATAATTAAAAAAATTGAAGATTATTTAATCACGGTTTTAATATGCAACAATTGTAATATTATTTGTACAACCTTTTCTCTTCCCTAAATAGAGAAGCGTTCTTCCTAACTATAATGATGATTGAAAGTTTTCTTCAGTTCTCAAGACAGTCACAATGTCATTCAAGAATATCAACCATTGGAAGTAATCCTTTCAAGCATTAAATCATCAGATCTTTCATATTCACAGTTTCATATAATGAATTTTCACTTTTCCAAAACTATTCTTCTTAACTTCATATAGCAACATGAACTCTCCATCTGAGAATTCTAACAAAAATATCTCGACTGAAGTCATCACAGTACAACACCATGATCAATAGTGAACTGAGGAGGTCCAGCCATCTGGATCCACTACTGTCAGGGGTACACTTAGGGTTAGGAAGGAGAAGAAGAAAAAGAAGAAGCTGAAGAAGAAGAAGAAAAAGGTGTCTATGAAGATTTGCTACTATGATTTTGACGAGGGTAGTGAGGAGAGGGTCATAGATTATGAAGATTCCTTTGCTGCTAGGGTTATTGTTCTGACATTGACAATATGTAATGAAATAATTTATGTACTCCGCCCTCTTGGCCCTCTTAATGAAAATATTTATTATTGTTATAATATACTCTTTCATTTATATCACTATATATTATTTTACTAAAAAATAGTACAAGCCAACAAAAATAAAAACAACAATCGCAACAATAATGAAAAATAACTATAACAATAATTAATAACTATCTAACAATTAGGTTCATAAATAAATAAATAAAACTGTGAGAGATTTAACCACGGTTTTACTAAAGAACCGTTGTAAAAGTTTAAAATTATATCACGGTTTTTCTTTCTAACCGTAATGAAATTTTATATATTATATCACGATTTTTCTTTCTAACTGTGATTAAATGTGATATTTTTTTATTATATAAGTGAAATATCTATCTTTTAGAACATAATAATTGTTTTTCTTAAATGAAAACCCTAACATATTTCGCTATTCTCTCTCATAACATAACCCTAACATCCATGTCACTCTTTAAACTGTCTTAAAACTTTCAGATTTGTCTTCACCAATCGTTATGATACTCTTTTATCATATTTCATGTTTGTTCATTAAACTTATGCTTCAGTTATGTTTACATTTCTTGTTAAAAATGAGTTATCATTATTTTATTTGGTGAATATTCTCATTTTTTCAGATTCGTCTTCACCACCTTAACAAAGTATATACTTTGCCTATGATTAGTTTAAAAAAGATGTGCACTCTTTAAACATTACATAATATGTTATGTTGTTGTATACTATTGTATGTTATTGTTGTTGTTGTTGTTGTTGTTGTTGCTGTATGTTGCTATTATTATCCTTGAACCTTATTTTGTTGTATGTTATTATGTTGTTGATAGATGTTGTTGTTATTAATGTTTTAAGAATTTAAAGAACAAAACATTGATAAGTCACAAGAAAGAAGCTTCTTGTGACTTAGCAATGTTTTGTTCTTTATAAGATTCTCAAAATATTACATAATATCTTGTGTTGTTGTATGCTGTTGTATGAAGTTGAGTTTATTATATGTTATGTAGATTGCTTGTTTCATTAACCCTTCGCTGAAAATATATTTCATTTAAATTGACATAGAAACTAATAATCTGAAAACTAAGTTGTATTTTAAAACCAACTTATATCAATCAATGTTTTCTGAATTGCATTCGTCTCATCGTTCATCTCACATTGTTTAATATATAGAATGTGCTTCAATGACCTGATTCCTTCAACACATCCATATCTTCTCTTATAGTTTAATTTGAATAATAATAATTTATTGATATTATTCAAATTAAACTAGATTATAAGAAATTGGTATTATGAAGGACTTAGACCATTTAACCATATTCTATATGTTAAATAGGGAAAAATGAATGATGAGACACATGAAATTTGGAAAATAGTGGTTTGTGTAAGTTGGTTTTCAAGAACAGTTTAATTTTCAGATTATATACTTCTTCACCAATTTCAATGGATGTATGTTATTGTGAGGTTTATTGAAAAACAAGCAATCTACATATTATATAATAAATCATAGGTACTTTTAACAGCGGTTATTTATAATAACCGTTATAAAATTTTATTTTTCTAAAGGTATATATCACCACGATTAGTTTAAGAAACAACGATCATATATAGCGCGCCTTCAGGTTTTCTACAACGGTCGTAAGACTATGATTGTAAGTTGCATATATACAACTACGCTCTACGTAACAACGGCAAGTCACACATGATGTTATCTCTTTTCCAACCGTTGTTGTATATGTTTTCCATAACAGTAATTGCTCTATCTACGGCAGAAGCAAAATACACCTCAGTTGCAAAATGTTGTACATAACTACTCTAAATGAAATATCAGCTAGAGGATTATCAAATTTGTGGAAACATTATTCCTATCTTTTGTGATAATACCGTTGCTATTTGTCTAATAAAGAATTCAATTCAACATTCTAGAACCAAGCATATTGAAATAAAACATCACTTCATTCAAGACTATGTTCAGAAGGGTATTATAGATATTCAATTCATTGATACTGATCATCAATGGGCTGACGTATTTACAAAACTCTTAGCAATTGAAAGATTTGTTTTTATCGAAAAGAAACTTGACATGGTCTTTATTTAAGAATATTGTTTGTTTCTGAATAGAGTATGGACGTCTGATGTTGATCAGAAGTAGCTTTAGTCAGAGCTTTAAAAAATTGCCTCCGATGAAAAGTAGCTTTAGAAAAACTTAAGATTATGAGACTCTGGAGTAAATTATTTAATTTAGATGGCATTTACACGCCTGATAATTATCTTGTTTGCATAGTGGCTGAGCGGGTAATATCTGAAGAATAATGATGTGAAACCTCTTTGATTTCTGTGTATTTACTCCTCTGTCATCTTTTATTATTATTTGTTCCTTGTGTTTGTTTTAGTTCTCTAAATGATTTTTTTGAGTAGTCCTAAAGTAAAGATAGCTATCTTGCACCTTTCTGATAATACACTTGACTATATCTTTGAGAACTTCTTTTCTTTTTATTATATTTCTACTTTCTCTATCTAAATCTCTCTTTTGTGAAAATCCTTTCCTGTGATAGCCTCTAGATCTAATTTTGGTATGGAAAACTAGCTAATAGTTATCATTGATGGACTTGTTGACTTTGAAGAAATGATGGCTCAAGGCTTTCATCTTCAAAGTGTTGTCTCCTAAAATGGTTGGGATGGTTTCTTTAATATGATCTATGGTCCTATCTATCCTAATTTAGTCAAAGAATTATGGGTTAATGCATCTATTCAAGACCAAAATCCAGAGTTTGACATTCTTTCTGTTGTATCCGGTGGCCCTATCACCATCACCCCTACGTCTATTGCTAATGCAATAAACTGTGAGGATGAAAGTGTTATTTCAAATATGCGCTTTTGGGAATTTTCTTTTCCTTATCGTCTTATCTTTGATAATCTATTCAACTTGTATAAAGACTCTAATCTTAATTCTAAGGTATCAATTTGGTATCAATTTTGATCTCAAACTTTTTGCCAAAGAACAAGAATATGAACTCTTTAGATATTGATGAAAAATCTTTTATGCTTCTTCTCAACTCAGATTTGAAGATCAACCTTTCTCATGTTATGTTTGAATCTCTAAAAATGACTCTCTTATCCTTTCATGATGGAAAATCATGTTTCATTCCCTGTGGAAGGGTTCTTTCACAATTCTTCACTCAACAAGGATTAGAGACAATTATGGTTGAGGTTACCTCACAAATCTGGGGTGATAAGTTGAAATATATATATATATATATATATATATATATATATATATATATATATATATATATATATATATATATATATATATATATAGAATTGGAGATTAGATACATTGATTATTTAATAAATTTAAAAAGTGAATTGTCTCTTATAAAAAAATGATTGTTTTAAAGAATTTAATTTTTTTTATAGTATGATATTATAAAATTTTAAAAATATAAAATTTATTGAATAGAAAATTAATTTATTTGAAAAATTTGATTTTTAATTTAACTAATTTAAAAATAATACAGTTGTAATAGGTAAAATTAATGACGCATAACAATTATAACTTAATATTAAAATTGAAAATTTAGATTATTTCATAATTGTGTAGTATTACATTTGATTATTAATCGTATTTGATTTGAACAAAAGAAGCATCATGAAGCAACCAGAAGCAGTAAACGTGTAAACACACTATTCGGCTATTCTTGTCCGTTCCAGTAGTCTATTCCAACGGAACAAATAGAACATTCTAGAACCCCAAACTTCTTGTATAAAAAACAAATCAAACACTCTCATTCTTACAAAAACTATTTCACAAATCACAAATTCGAACACTAATCAATCTCTTTTCTCTCTTGCCTCCTCTACACAAAACCAAACCCTAGCGTTCAAGATCTCGTCGACGATGGCCGGAAAAGGAGAAGGTCCAGCGATCGGAATCGATCTCGGTACAACATACTCTTGCGTCGGCGTGTGGCAGCACGACCGAGTTGAGATCATTGCCAATGATCAAGGAAACCGTACGACGCCGTCTTATGTTGCTTTTACCGACAGTGAAAGGTTGATCGGTGATGCCGCTAAGAATCAGGTCGCCATGAACCCTATCAACACCGTCTTCGGTAAGATCTCAAATTTCACATTCACTATCACGTGCTTGAATTTCTTATATAAATATTTATTTTTAGTTTATTTTAATTTTTTTAGTAGAAAAACCTATAATTTTGTCGGATCTATAGGGATTTATGAATATGTCCTATTGTTCGATTTTAGATTTCTAATTTTTATTCTAAGCTGTGTGAATGTGGCATACTGGCTTGATGATATACTTGGTTATTAGTGTTTTGTTATATGAGTTTTAAACGGTTTGTGTGCTAATTTGAATCTGTATATACTTTATCAGATGCAAAACGTTTGATTGGAAGGAGAGTTTCTGATGCTTCTGTTCAGAGTGATTTGAAGCATTGGCCATTCAAGGTTACTGCTGGTCCTGGTGATAAGCCTATGATTGTGGTTAACTATAAGGGTGAGGACAAGCAATTTGCTGCTGAGGAAATTTCCTCTATGGTTCTCATTAAGATGCGTGAGATTGCCGAGGCTTATCTTGGTTCTACCGTGAAGAATGCTGTTGTAACAGTTCCTGCTTACTTCAATGACTCACAGCGTCAAGCCACAAAGGATGCTGGTGCCATTGCGGGCTTGAATGTTCTCAGAATAATCAATGAACCTACTGCTGCAGCTATTGCTTATGGTCTTGACAAGAAGGCCACAAGTGTTGGTGAGAAGAATGTGTTAATCTTTGATTTGGGAGGTGGTACTTTTGATGTGTCTCTTCTTACTATTGAAGAGGGTATTTTTGAAGTTAAAGCCACTGCTGGGGATACCCATCTTGGTGGTGAAGATTTTGATAACAGGATGGTTAACCATTTTGTTCAAGAGTTTAAGAGGAAGAATAAGAAGGATATTAGTGGTAACCCTAGAGCACTTAGGAGGTTGAGAACTGCTTGTGAGAGGGCGAAGAGAACTCTCTCATCAACTGCACAAACAACCATTGAGATTGATTCTTTGTACGAGGGTGTTGATTTTTACACAACAATCACTCGTGCTAGGTTTGAGGAACTTAACATGGATTTATTCAGGAAGTGTATGGAGCCTGTGGAGAAGTGTTTGAGGGATGCTAAGATGGACAAGAGCACAGTTCATGATGTTGTTCTTGTTGGTGGTTCTACTAGGATTCCCAAAGTTCAGCAGTTGTTGCAGGACTTCTTCAATGGTAAGGAGCTCTGCAAGAGTATCAACCCTGATGAGGCTGTTGCTTATGGAGCTGCTGTCCAAGCAGCTATATTGAGTGGTGAAGGTAATGAAAAGGTTCAAGACTTGTTGCTTTTGGATGTCACCCCATTGTCTCTTGGTTTGGAAACTGCTGGTGGTGTCATGACTGTGTTGATTCAAAGGAACACTACAATTCCAACCAAGAAAGAGCAGGTTTTCTCTACTTACTCAGACAACCAACCTGGTGTCTTGATCCAAGTATATGAAGGTGAGAGAGCAAGAACAAAAGACAACAACTTGTTGGGAAAATTTGAGCTCTCTGGTATTCCTCCTGCTCCCCGTGGTGTTCCTCAGATTACAGTTTGCTTTGACATTGATGCCAATGGTATCTTGAATGTCTCTGCTGAGGACAAAACAACCGGGCAGAAGAACAAGATCACAATTACTAATGACAAAGGTAGACTCTCAAAGGAGGAGATTGAGAAGATGGTTGAGGAAGCAGAGAAATACAAGGCAGAAGATGAGGAGCACAAAAAGAAGGTTGATGCAAAGAATGCATTGGAAAACTATGCTTACAACATGAGGAACACGATTAAAGACGAGAAGATTGCTTCAAAGCTTTCAGCTGATGACAAGAAAAAGATTGAAGATGCAATTGATGCTTCAATTACTTGGTTGGATAATAACCAATTGGCTGAAGCAGATGAGTTTGAAGATAAGATGAAGGAACTTGAGAGTCTTTGCAATCCAATAATTGCCAAGATGTACCAAGGTGGAGCTGCTCCTGACATGGGTGCTGCTGATGATGAAGTCCCTCCAGCTGCAGGTGGTGCTGGACCCAAGATTGAAGAGGTTGACTAAGTTATTTATTAAATGTGGGTTGGGTATTTTGATCCAGACCCTTTTAAGTTTTAATTTTGCTTTGGTTTTATTTTGTTCCGGACCCGTTTATTTTTGTTTTGGTTCTAGAATATTTATTGGTCAGTGTTTTGGGATTTTCCTTTCTGATATTGGTTTTATTGGTTTTAGTGTTTGGTAACCCTTTATGTAGGGATTCTTTTCGGTAATGCAAGGAAATAATTTTACTGACCATTTGGTAATCCTTTATTTATTCCATTTGTTTTTTCTGGGTCACTTAGAAGCAGATTTTAGGTGACAGTTGACAAATACCATTGAGACACACAACTAACTAACCGTTTAGATTTGCTATTTATCTAACTCCACGGTTTGTTTTTTTTTACTAATTTAATACTTGCTCGATGAATTGTTGTTGAAAACTTTGACATTTTTTGCATTACATAAATGTAACCTATGAATATACTGGGAAAGTTGGTTACCGTATGCCTACAAAAGTGATGAGTATACCATATACCTACAAAAAGTGAGATAGTCGTCGTTTTAAGATTTTTGAATATAGATTAGTAGATTTTTGAATATAAATTAGTAAGATACCGCACGAGTAAAATTATTTGATATAATATAAAAGATATTTAAATTTATATATAAATTTAATATAATATAAAATGCATTTATGTACGTATTTAAATTTGAAATTAGCAATTATTATATAAATTTAATTGTATTAAAATAAAATAAAAAGAAACTTGTGAGATAAAAAAAAATATTTAATATTTAAAAAATAAAAATTTTATTTTTTAAATTAAGATAATTATTGATTAATATAAAATATGTATTGTGTTAATAGTATCCCTTAAAATTCTCATGAAATAGAAAGTTTATTTGATATGTATTTATATAAATATGTAAATATAAATATGTAAATTTGAAATTAGTTATTTAATTTTAAAATGAAAAAATATTTATATAAACTCAATTATATCAAATAATTATGTAAAAAGAAAAAAATGACTTTGATGAATTTTAAAATAAAGATTTGGTCTTTCAAATCAAGATAAATTATTTATAAAAATAAAATAGAAATTGTACATGAAATAAAAGATATGATATAAAATATATTTAGATACAAATACAAAATTTAAAATGATTTACTTAATTGGAAATTAAATAACCTACTTAATTGTATCAAAAGAAGAAAAATAATAAAAATAATTGTTGATTAAAATAAAATAGATGTGTTGAAAGTGACCCTGAGATAAATAAAATTTTAATTTTATTAAAATTAAAAAAATTGATTAATAGTATTTTTAGTGATAATAAATAGATAGAAAAAAATTAAAATAAAAAAGAAAAAGTGTGAGAAAAAGAAATGTGAGAAAAATTTGAAATTTAAATGAAAAGAAAAAATGAGTGTCACTTGTCATGTTGTAGTAATAGATGAGAATGAAAAAAAAGTAAATATTAATTTATTATTAAAATATTTTTTTGAAGTGTACATAATTTGTGATGAAAAAATAATTTAGAGAGTTTATATAATTGAATTTGTATATATAAATTGTAGATTAAATAATATAATTATTTCTATATCGGATATATTTATTTTAAAATAATTTCTGTATTGAAAATTGAGGAAGACATTTATTTTAGAATAATTTTTTTTAAAAATAGAGTGGGGTATCACATTAACATTTGTCAGCGTATAATTATAAATTAAAGTTAATGACGTCTGTAAACTATATTTAGTTGAAAGCTTATTACGAAGCATTCTCTATAATAGACAAGATACTTTTGACTGGTATCGCTGTGTGCCAACCCTTAGATCACTAACTATTAACTTATGTTCTATTTTCAAGCATCTTAATCATGTAACTCTGTTAACAAAATACTTTTCAACTATTAACTTATGTTTTATTTTCAATTATCATGATCATATAACTCTTTTTTACAGAATATTTTTCAACACAGTCTATGGCAGCTATGTTTAAGTTACACATACCTCTTAACCAAAACAAATTATATTTCTTGTCTACATTCAAAATGTTGACACTCTCGCAATATCTACAAGTCATTGACTTATACCACATAACATTTCTCTCATACATGATTTCTCATTTCCATTTACCAATTAGAATATTGTTAAAATTCCTAAAAAAATTTATGCCCAAGCATTCTTCATCGATAGATTTACAAATTCTATTCCATTTCACTCAATTAATTTTCCTCTCATTCTCTCTCCCACCCAAAAAATAATTGTCTAAACATAAATTCAAGTTAAAAAATGATATCTTGAATAATGAGAGAAAATAAATTGGAGTAACTAAAAAAATTAATTCTAGAATTATAACTCTTACCAATAAAAAGATGTTTATGTTTTTATTTAGAAAATCTACTTCTTGTCGTATCAATCATTTTTTGTCAAGTCATTTTTTATCTCAAATTTTCTCCTTTTGAAATTTCAAGATAGCTAAATGAAGTTGTTTCCATCTTAAAATTTAAGATATGGATCGTTTCTTGAATTTAATGGTGGGAAGTACGTAACTCTTTCGAAAGTAAACTTTTCATCCTAAGAATATAGTCTTTATGATCTTGGCATTTCTCTACTTTTCTTTTCCCTACCATTAACACGCGCGCAGAGAGAGAGGGGTTTTTCTCTCAGAACTAGTTGATCTCTTTTCTATTTTTGAGATTATTTGCAAGACTCCTTGGTCCTATACTAGAAAGCGAGGAAACCGTTTCTCCATCTCCATGATTAGAATTGCAAGAGTAGAGAAAAAAACATTCTTCCTATGATCGAGGAAGAGATAACGTTTTCATGTACACCTCATAGGCCACATGTGATAATGAGATATATCATGATTTTATTTGGGGGCGACCCAAGCCTAACTGGGCTGGGTGATTTACTATGCGCTTTGTGAAACCTGTTATACTTAGGGTATTCATCCAACCTCTATACACTTAATTTGAACTATTTTATTATGGATCATCCTCTCTTTTTAGGTGCAAAAAGTTATCTTTGTCCACAATCTTTCAAGCACGAGACCATGGAAAGGGTGAAGTGATTTAATTCAAATGTACTATCATCTTAAAGATTTTGTGAGTCCCTAAAGCGAAGATCGGCGAGTCTCTTAAAATAAGTCTGAGGTGAGTCTGTCACGCAAAGCCTGAGGCAAGCCCCTCAAGAAAAATTTGAGGTGAGTCCTGTAAGGAAAGCTTGAGGCCTTCAAACAAAATTTGTGGATATTTTTTCCAGCGTCAGTTAGGGAATCACGTACAACATTAAAGGTTTCTCATGATGGGCTTTTTTTGGAAGCTAAATTTATTGAGAATAATTGATTTTCTCACAGTGTTAGAAAGGCAGACATTTGGAGCTTCCACTACTATAAAATATATATTTGATAACACTAAATTACAATAGTTAACCGTGACAATTCCTCATTTTTGAACACATTTTTTTTTGTATTTACGAAAAGAAATTGTATTACTGTCAAACCAATTAAGGGATCATGGAGTTACAAAGTTCGAACTCCAACTCCAATAATTTTTCTATTTTTCGTAAGACATTGCATTTTATATATATAAGAGAATTACATTTTATCATTGTGAAAGATATTACATTTTATCACGGTTTCTGAATAAGATCGTGGTGAAATTGTTTACCCATATATAAGAGAATTAACTCTCGTTTTTTGACACTATTGTCGTATCTCTCACAGCAAAATTCTAACACACATTTTCTCTCTTCTTCTTCGCATTAGCTTTCCTACTCTACAGTATAGTCTCAATCTTGTTCTTGATACATAAAGGTATTCTTATTCTTTCTTATTCTCTTGTTTTCGTGTATGCTGTTGTTATATTTTACATGATCTTCTTCTTGTTCGAGAGTTTATGGAATTTTTGTTGTTGTATGTTGTTGTTGCTGATGAATGTAGATAAACGTGAATTGACATGATTTTCATATTATTTACTTTGGTTTCACAATTTTTGTTGTTGGTGGTTGTTTTTTCTGACAATTTTTTTTCTCCATATTCTCTATTATTCGTGTATGTTGTTGTTATGTTGATGTTATTGTTATGTATGTTGATAAATTTTTGTTGGATTACAATGTATTGCTAGTTTATGTTAACATGCTATTTTTTCATGGTGTTTGTAGGATCCCAATTGATGTTGCTATGAAGAAAAAAAAAAGAGGATGAAGCTGAAGTGAAAGATGCAGACTTGTGCGATAGACCTAGAATGACATCCATTCAAATTTTACACAAGTTTGCAGCTTTCTCCTTAGTTTCATCCTCCTTTCATTTTATAAGTTTGTATACAATGGACGTGGTTCACCCAATGGTTTTTCTTAATTTTCCACGAGTTTTTTCAATTAAAAATATGAGTGTTTTCGATAATTATTGTTGCATGCTGTTGATGTTGTTTTGTGTTGTTTGTTAATAAAAGGATTTTCATGTGTAGCTAGGAAGTGGTTATGGTTATTTACTTATCACTAATGCGGTTGGCTGTGTGGTCATGGATCTAAGAGAGTTGTGAACTTGTGTTCACTGTGGAAATATTATATGAGTCTTTCATATAATATTTTCATAGTGAACACATGTTTTCTACTCTCCCTTCTACTTTATCCTTTTCATAGCTTCTAAGAACGGTTAGTTATGAAGTTCTCTCAATCTATGTTAATTAATTGATATTTTTGTTGATAAATGTTATTGGTGAGTTTTTTATATCATGTGTGATTGCTTGTTTCACCAATCTCTCATTAAACTTGCATTCATTTAAATTTTTGAGATAATAATTAGAAAATTTAAATTATTCTTGAAAATCAACTTAGACGATACAATGTTTATCGAATTGCATGCATCTTGTAATTAATGATTTCCTCTTTAGCCTATAGAGTTTGATTCAATGCCATAAATTCTTCAAAACAATGATGATAAATGGATGTCAGTCTGGGTCTTTCGCACAAAATTTGATGTTTGCAAAATAAACTAGAAAAAAATATGAAATCA